AATTAATTTTTGTATTTTAGGGGAGGGTCTACAGTTTGTTCAGGGTCTCACTACTAGATTGTACTCGTAGTGATCTGCCTGTTTACAGCTTTCCAAGAGCTGGGATTACAGGCGCGTGCCACTACGCCCAGTCTCAATTGCCTTCTTAGCTTGCCCCGACCTCTGCGCTTGCTTGCAGGCGCTTTAATCCGTTGAGCTATTTGGCCGGTCCAAGATAGTTCTGATAGTAAAGAAGAAAACAGTTTCCACATCTGTTTCTTTAAAAAATTAGCATATCTTGGTGTTATACATAAAAGTCACTGAGTCGTTTCTTTCAAAAGATCCTTAGGTGCTAGCACACAGGAGAACCTGCTCCTGCGTCTCTGAGCTGTATGGGGGACCCATGGCCAGCGTCAGGCCAGGGGTGCGCAGGCTCAGAACTTCACACCAGCCTCTTTCTGAGGTCCCACGTAGAACTCTGATCACGCGTGGGGAGCACGCGTCCTAGGAGACGATGAGCCCACGCCACGGTTCTCAGAGCTCTGGCCCACCCATGTCGTTCAATTACCTGGTGGAAATGGAAATCTGGTCCTATGGGCCCGGATTAAGAATAAGGTCCTGAGAACCTTTTGTTCGACCTTCATACAAGTCTCTCAGTATGCCAAGACATCTCCACTTACCCTGGGAATTCTGCAGCAAGTTCAGTGTTTTCTCCTCTAGTTCTTCGAGTGTTATTGCATCGAGGGCGATCTGCTCCACTAACTGAGAGTGCTGCTCCTCTAAGTGGGGCACTTCATGACTTACTACGGTGGATAAGAGCTGGTCTTGCAAACCTTGGAATGTTACTGTGAAGTTGATCATAGTCACAAAGTTGTGCACTGATGGCAGAAAATGGGGATTGTCTATTTCTGTAGATAAGTATAACCTAAACATGAGAAAGACATCAATCGTTCAAAGACCACACAGAGGGGAAAAAGAACAAGTTTCTCTAGTAAAGCAAAATACAGTTTTCCTTGAAGTGAACGAGATTAATGTTCAGTATTATTCAGCCTTGCACACAAAGTAGGCTCTCAACTTAGCGGGTGTGAAGAGTTTGCCACTTAAGACTTCAAAAATCCAACCGTAAGTTTTGTTCACGCTATATTTGGTTTAAGCATGAGAACAGGCTGAAGAAGGCTAAGTGGAGAGACCCCGCCTTTCTCCTGGAGCGGGTGTGACGGCAGCGGGGATCTGGCAGCAGACAGACGCAGTATTTCAGCCCCGACGCCGCAGCTGCTGTGTGAACCGCCGCTCAGGGGGGTAAACAAGTCCCCCATACACTGTGTGAACTCGAGATTGGGTACCCTTGGCAATCCCACACCCTTGGCGTGGGGGCCGGCCCTCAGGAGGGAGGGCCTCCCTAGAGTGACTCAGCACAAAAAGGGGTGTGTAAAGGGGCGAGAGGGGGGCTTAAAGTTGCTCCGAGCTTCACAGTGCCACTTCCTCGGAGCACCTTGATTATTGCACCTGTGACACTTCGGAGGAGCTCGGATCTTTGCAACAGCCACCACCACCTCCTTGGAGGAGCTCTGGTCTTCTCAGTCAGCGTGGAAGGGAGGGAGAGGGGCTCGATAGAGGCCGCAACTGCTGCTCCTTCTTCTGCTCTCTCTTGTTCTCCCCACCCTGAGCTGCTGCCTTCTGCCCTGGAGCCAGCTGAGTGTGGACTGAAACCTTCACTAACTGTGAGCTAAATAAACCTTTCCTTCCTTCATTTGGGGTGTTGGGGATTTTGTAACAGAGACACCCGTGACATGGAGAGAAATGACAGAAAGGGGGTCATTTCTTCTTCAGCATCCTTTTCCACCTTTTCAGTACATGCATTTCTAATGTGGGGAGAACTGGTTGTCAACTCAGGAAAATGCAGCTTTATGAGTGACTGGGGCTCATGTGATCGCATTCCCCAGAAGAGAGGAAGGCAGGTTAGGGGTGTCCCCTGCAGAGCTGCTGTGTGTAACACCAGAGCAGCGTCCAGGAAAGAAGGGGTTTGAGGCCCTGCAGGGAGCCTTAGCAAGCTTTGTTGAACCCACTGCTTTCATGAACCTAGGGATATCAGTTTTGAGGCACCTACTTTGGAAAACATCTTATTAGCAGAAAGCAGGAGGCTAGGAGAGAGGATGCTAAGGAACAAGAACTGGTGAGAGGAGACCCTGACTATTAGGGCACAGTGCCTGGGAACACAGCAGGAACATCACATTTCCTTGGGACTCACATGTCGTGTGATGAGGTAGCTGCGTCACAGTCCTATGTGAGGTTGGCCACACCAGATTTTATGACCCCAGGTAAAATCTCTTTCTGCTCTGGATGTTGACTACAGAGCTTGTTTTTTAAAGCAACAGAAGCTGGTCCTGGCAAACACCATGTTAGGCAAGTGGCTCAAGCCAAGCTGCAACCTGGTAGGCCTAGCCTCCTGTAGAGCACCTGAGGAGCTCCCTGTGACTCAGTGGGTAAGAGCGCCTCCTCACTGTGAACCCAGGAAAGCTAGAGGGAGCTGGCCAGGGCAACCTCCTCTACCCATGAAGGAGTTCATCGGGACCAAACAGGAGGTCTTCAAGATTATGGGTCCTAGGGGCTGGGGAGATAGCTCAGTAGAATAAGCACTTGCCTGGCAAGCGCAAGGGCCTGAGTTCAATCCCCGGTTCCACCAAAAAAAGAAAAAAAAAAAAAAAAAAAAAAAAAAAAAAAAAGACAAAAAAAAAAAAAAAAAAAAGATTATGGGTCCTAAGAAACACAGACACTTGACTCAGTCTAACTGAGGGAGACATTACCTGAATTGGGAATTGTATTCAATCTCAGAATCATCAATTCTTATGAAATACTGCCCTCTTTTCTGATAGATATCCTTTTTCAAAGTTGCCTTCAAGACTGGAGAAATTGTTTCAGAGAGAATCTGGGAAAAAAAGAAATAAGAAAAACCCTAAATAAGTTGGCTTGAAGACACATTTAAATCTTATTAAGTATCTAGACATCAGTAAGAGAGAGCTGATCCAACACTGAAAGGTCACTGTCATGTATGTGTGCACGTGTGCATGTGTCTGTGTACTATATGTGGGTATGTATGTATGTATGTGTGTATAAGTGTGCATGTGTATATGTGCATGTATATGTGTATGTGTGCATAGATGTTCATTGCATGGGTGTGTTATGTGTGTACTTATGTATGCATGTGGATATAGGCATTATGCATATATACATATGTATGTGAGTATGCATGCACATGTGTACTATTCTATTGTGTGTGCATATCTTTGTATATTTATGCACGGGTACATTTATGCATATATGTGCATGTGTGCCCCTGCTTGCATGTGTACCTATGTAAGTATATACTACACACATGTATACACATGCACATACATGTGTGTTATGTGGATGTGCATGGGAACGTACCTGTATGCACATTTTTTGTGTGGAAATATGGCCTGTCACTTAAAACTTATCCTTCTGCTCGGTGTTGCCGGGAATGGGGTGCCCTTTGCCCCCAGTACCTGCAGAAGCACACTTGACCCCATCTTCATGGCACTCTCCAGCTTCTGGGGGAGCAGACTGTCTTCTGTGGAGAGCTCCTGGAGCCGGGGCCCCTCCACCTGGCGGATCCAGGTGAGTGCCTGCCTGTGTGGGTCAATCAGCAGGGGCCACTGCTGGCCGTTTCTCATCAGGATGGCGTTCTCAGTGGACCACCTCCCGAGGGGCAGCCCCTGTGTGTGCCACCTGCGGACCTGGGCACAAGCGTCAGAGCTGTTACTGCTTAGCATACTGCCGCACGGGCAAGGGTCCTACAGGGTCTCTCTCTTTAGAAAAGTAAATAATCTTTTAAGGAATAAGGAACTTGGAAGTGAAATTTTTGTTGTAACTGTCGGTGAACCTCTTGTAAAGGCAGGCCCTTCTCTGGGAGATGGCTAGGGCATTTTTTAGTTCTGGAATGGAGGAAAAAGCTTTTATTTACACCCATGAAGAAGAAGCTGTCTTGAATTCTAAATCAAAGAAAACAGAGACGTAGGTAAGAATGGTGCAGAGACTGGCATCCCTGCCGCTGTGGTGTGGACAGCCTTTGACACAGCACTTGGAGGCCAGGGTGTGAGAGAGGAATCCTTGGGCTTCGCAACCCAATTGTTCTCCTGAGGTTATGCCTTCTGTCTTTCCTAGCTATGTGTGGCTAAATACGACAGCTCAGCTTTGCTTCATGTTGGAGGTTGAGGTAAACAAGCTCCTGCACCATTTTTGTGCCTTCGCTTTGCTTTGCCCATGCCGTGTACACTATTTGCACCTTCGTGGGGCTCCGAGGGTCAGCTCCAGGAGCGTGTAGGGGTGGGCGTTCTTCTGCATCTCTATTGATCTAGTCGTCCATGCATTTCTTTAAGGGAAAACACTATAACTGGTGTGATGGACCGTAGAGTTGTGTGCTTGTAACATTAGCAGCCAGTACCAGTGTTCTTGTCCATGCATCTAACAAGTTTTACTTCTTTATTTGCTTGTTGACTTGTAGTATTTAAAAAAAATATATCCCAGATAGAGCTTTCATCTTAAAATATATATATTGTAAACAATCCTTTCCTCGTTGGCTTGTCTTTCTTTACATCCTCCAAACAACATCATTACATGAACAGGTTTAAATTTTAATGTACTTAAATTTATCACATTTTTTCCTTTATAGTTACTTTTTTAAAGTTCTCTCTCTCTCTCTCTCTCTCTCTCTCTCTCTCTCTCTCTCTTTCTCTCTCTCATATTTTTAGGGAAGTGTTCAGTGTGTTCAGGGTCTCACTACTAGATTGGACTTATAATGATCCACCTGTTTACAGCCCCCCAAGAGCTGGGATTACAGGTGCAAGCCACCATGCCCAGTCTCAGCTGCCATCACAGTGTGCCCCGGGGGCGGGGCTGGCACAGCAGGCCCCAGGATCGAACCCTCAGCGGCACTTGCAGACGCTTTAATCCACTGAGGTATTTGACCGGCCCTTTCAAAGCTGTCATCTAAAAGATTTTATTAGTACATGTTTGCAGTGCATGCATTTTACAGTCATCTTGGGGAATTGGTACATGTATATACCACAGCTAGTTCCTTTTTTAAGTGACTCTCCCTCCTCCACTTTCCTCCTCCTCTAGGTTCCTTTTGCCCTCTTCATTCTTGTTGACATTGTTAATCTCAGTTTATTTTGTGGCGTGTAGTGACCATGTTCACTGAGGTCATCAAGACCTTGTACCTGGAATGTACTATCTCCCTTTGTCCCCTGGACTTTAAAAGAATTTTTAAACCTAGGGCCAGGCACATGTTCTCCTAAATTGTGCTCTATTAATTTGTACTGCACATTTAAAAATCAAATTTAATTGCAATTAACTTTGATATGTGGTGTGAAGTAGCAGTCAGATTTCCTTTAAAAACTCACAGTTACCTGGAACCTTTATTGAAGAGCCCACCCTACCGCCACCCTGGTCTGTGCTGCACTTCAGATGTCGCTGCACACGTGGGTGGTGCTGGGCCCTGGACTCCGCTCTGCTGCTGCGGTTCCTTATCCTCGTGCTGGCATGGGCGTGATGAACAGCACACCACCCTGACTGTGTGGCTCTAAAGCAGATCTTCACGTTCCGTATCCTGATGACAGCTATTAATTAGCCTTGTCTTTCATGACTTCACTTTTTTTGGATAACTTTTGAAATCAGCTTTTCAGGACACACATCTGCTGAGATGTTGACTGGGGTCATATTGGATCAACAAATCAATTTAGAAAGAACTGGAAGCTTTAGAATATTCATCAATTCACAAATTTGGCATAACTTTTCATCTAAATTTCTTAAACTTTATCTCAGTACTTCCGTGCTTCTTTGTATAGGTTCTGCACATCTTTTGACAGGTCATTTTGATGCATGGATAAATGGTGTCAGAAAGCACTACATGCTCTTGTTGGTGGAGAAATTTTTTGTATATTGACTCGTTCTGGAAACTTTGTTAAGTTTTTATTAATTTTGATGGTATTCCTACAGATTTTTGTTTGGATTTTAAGCCACACGCCAGCCGTAGAAATGTACGTCTTCTGTCCCCCCTCCTGGCCCTGCTCTTCTCTTCTCTTGGCAGTGCACCCCTTGTCATGCATCACTTTTTAATTCTGATTTCTTCTTTGATTGATGGTTATTTAGGAATATATTTTTTCTAACTTCCAAAAATAGGGGATTTTCCAAGTATCTTTGTTTTTTGGTGGAACGGGGATTGAACTCAGGCTTTTGCACTTGCCAGGCAAGTGCTTATTCTACTGAGCCATCTCCCCGACCCCTTTCCAAGTATCTTGATGACTGACTTCTAGCTGGGCTGCGTTTTTGTCAGATGATGTTGTCAGAGTGGTCTCATGTCGCTGCCATGAGTTAAGCCTGGCTGGCAGTCTCCTGTGGTCTGGGTCATCTGTGATTGGTAGCTGCTTAGCTGCAGGGGTGGCAGCATCGTACGACCTCGAAGCCCACTGGGGTCACCTTGCTCAAATCTCCTCTGTTCTTATTTTTGCATGCTTATTCTGATTTGCAGGAAAATGTTAACATCTTTCACTGTGACTGCAGGTTTGCTTTTTCCTGTAATTCCTTAAATGAATTATGAATACTGAAGATCAGATTACCATGTAGAAATTTATTTATTTTTAAAGATTTATTTGGTACAGGGTCTTACTACGCAGCTTGGACTCATAGTGATCCTGTCTCAGCCTCCCCAGCGCTGAGATTACAGTCATGCACCATCATGCCTAATTTCAGTGGACAGCATGTGGTACTGGGGATCAAACCCAGGTCCTTGTGCTTGCCAGGCAGGTACTTAGACTGCCAAGCTATCTCCCCAGCCCCAAATACAAATTTAGAATTGTTGATATTTTCTTGTAGAATTAAACCAGTTCTTACTTTAAAGTAAGGTTACTTAATTCTGCTAGTTCTTCTCTTTGCCTCAAAGTTTATTTGTCTTATTTTTTTGTAATCTATGATAAATTTTCTCTCATTTTTTATTATGTTTGACATGTGCTCTACTGAATCACATATGACTTCTGTTCTGTTTTTTGGTTATACAATTATATAGCCTTATGATTTTAAGTTGGTGTATATAGTCCATTTACATCTAATGTAATTATTTATGTTGCTGGGTTTTAATTAGCTATCAGCAGTATAAGAACAGAAGAATAGAGAATAGAATGCTAGATTTTGTTTCTAAGATTTCATAAATTGGATGGTCCATTTAAGTAAAGTTATCAGTGAGGGAGTCACTGATAACTGAATCTATGCGGATTAAAAAAAGTAGTTGCATATTTTTAATCTTCTAAACATCAACATAAGACTTACATAAATAGATAATAAGTATCGACAGATGAACTGCTCAATCTAAGTCTATATTTTTTGGCTGTGGCTAAGAATGCTCCTTGTGGGTCTATAAGCTTGCTCATTTTATTTTATTTTATTTTTTGTGGTACCAGGGATTGAACTCAGTTGCTCATTTTATTAATGAAAGGAATTGGAGGGCTGCTTGTGTTCCCTGGGGCAGGTAGCGGGATTAGAACATGAAAGAGTATTTTGTGAATTACACTCAAAGATGAGAAACAGAAAGAGATAATTGAGACACTAGATCTATCAGTTATAAAAAATGAATTAAGTCCTGAAGTAAACTTCAATACTTTCATTTATCAAAATAATCTCAAAGAAAGATTCAAGCCAAAAACTGCATATAACCCCCAAATCCAGGCAATAATTACAGACGGCAAGTAGCAGAAATATATTCCTACCTCATTTTTCTGTGCCATCACTTCAACAAAGGAGAATTTGGAAGACAAAGAAATGTTGTTTTTAATGCAAACATCCTCCCAGGAATTCACAATGAGCTGGCGAAACTCTGGTGTGAGGACCCCACTGTAGACGATGCAGGCTGCAGACAGCAGGGAGTCGCCCAAGACCCCACCCAGCCTGCTGTCTATGTCACCGACTGCTGCCTGCCACCGCGTCTGTATACAGGATTAAAAAGTGGTTATTTGATGTAAGTCACATTATGAGACACTTTAAAAATTAATGTTCTCTGTCGGAATCCATCCTTGTTATTTATTATTATTACTAAGCTGTGTTCCCTGGGGCAGGTAGCAGGATTAGAACATGAAAGAGTATTAAAAGTTAACTATAGGCAACATTCCAAAGTAACTATTTTGAGGAGGAGTATCAGCCCTATTCTTAGGTTTGCCAAGTATTCTATTTATTAAGATAGATTTTATAGCCATTTTAATTATTTTGTAACAAAATAGAATGGCTTTAAAAATATCAATCTACTATATCATTAATGGGTTTAATTATTATGACAGTAATAATGACCAATATTCATTACCTCCTTACCCACTTCCCAGCCCCTTGACTTTGGATACCTTTGACACCTTCAGCACTGTCCATGTAAAGTCTGATTCATCTGAAGACCCATAAGCTAAGCAGCCTGCTGGAGGTGGTACCCCTGGGGATTCTGGGGACCATCCTAGGTCATGTGTGCACTTGAGGGCTCAGTGAGAGCCCTAGCTCTGGAGCCAGGATACCCCCTGGTTCTCATCCATGTGGCTTTTGGGACATCAACCCACTTCTAAAGGCCATCGTCACTCATGGATTGGTATCCTACCCTGTAAGAGTCTTCCATGATACTGATTAATTTATATCATTAAGATAAGTTAGAATTAAAAATTACCTTGAGGATTTTATAATACCTTTTAAGACACTTGAGGTATAACTAAACCAAAATTCTAGCCTACCAGGATCCAATACAGGGAAAGAAGATGGGCTAGACAAGAAACTTAAAATGAGAGAAATAAGTTGGGCCAGAAGACCGGAAGATCAAAATAAAATTTCGTTTTCCCTTCTTAGTGACACGGTCTCCCTTTGCTCCCCACCCCCAGTGTCCACATTTTGTAAACTCAGCTCAGGGGGTTTCCGTGATCCACAAGGAAGCCCAGGCACATGTTGGGAAGGTCTCCTTCAGGACTCATTACGTAACAGTGATGTTTTGGGAACACCAGAAAAAGCCTCAGATCTTATGAGTTGGTTTGCTTCTGACTTAAGACTACAGGAATAGTATTGCTGTAGTCTACATGAACAAGACTTGATGGAAGTTGGCTCATGAATGAGTTTTAACAGGTGTATGACACAGCCTTCAGGGGAGTAACACTTTGGGTCTGCTGCCTAGCAGTGGGTAATGTGGGAGATGCAAGGCCACAAGAAGCCAAGGGAAATCACAGGAAGCACAGAGAGGCTGTAGGAAACCAAGGGAAGCCGTGCCTTCTCATCCCCCAGGACAGTCAGCAGGACAGACGCACACTGCAGGCGTTTGGTGGCCAGTTTTCTCCGATTTGCTAACAGTTGTTTTTCACTAAGAACATCTTTATAGGTTGCTTGCAAAGACAGCAAATGTTCTTCAATCTGAAAGACAATTCATTATTGAGAAAAAAATCTTTCTGTTATCTTCCTACAAAAATATATCTGTTACTTATATAAATAGAGTGTAACAATTTTTGTTTCATTTCATTTCCTTTTTTTTTTTTTTTTTTTTAAGACTTTGACATTGTGAAAAATCTTCCTGGATGGATTATATCACCAGGGAAAATGCACAATGTAGAAATGATTTCGATACTGAAGTTTTTATTCTAAGATGCTATCTTCCTTCCTCAGTAGGCTTTCTTGCAGTCTTAGCATTTGAACATTTATCATTTTCTGACTTACTATTTCATGTAGGTTCTCTAAGAAAATGAGGGCTGGGGAGATAGCTCAGCAGTCTAAGTACCTGCCTAAATGAAGGCTGGGGAGAGCTCAGCAGTCTAAGCACCTGCCTGGCAAGTGCAAGGACCCAGGTTCCATGCCTCATACTGCATGCCACGCCAGCCCAGCCATGCCAGCCACCAAAACTGGGCATAGTGGAGCATGCCTATAATCCCAGCACTGGGGAGGCTGAGACAGGAAGATCACTATGAATCCAAGCTGCATAGAAGACCCTGTACAAAATAAATAAATATATGATTTTTCTTTTGTGGAACTGGGGATTGAACTCAGGCCCTTGTCCCTTGTGCTTGCCAAGCAAGTGCTTAGTCTATTGAGCCATCTCCCCAGCCCAATAAGTATATGATTAAAAAATAAAAAAAAGAAAGAGAAGATATATGAGCAGACCAGAGGAGTGAGTGTTTGAGGTTAGGATGGTTGTAAGGATGAAGCAACTGTTGAACTATCTTCAAGTTACCCATCGAAAACAGTTTCATGAATAACTCATAAAATAATTTCCTTAAATTAATGTTCATTTTAATAACAAAAGAACTTGGCAAATCCTTATTATGTAAATAATTGACTAAGGATGTGGTCTAAAGTACTGGCTTTGTCAGCAAAAGCTTCCGCAGGCTGACTCGCCTCCTTCCCATTTCCTTGCCTGCTCCTTTCCATATGTAACCCTTCAGCCACACTTGGGTCATGCCACATATCCCTAGCATCTTCAATTGTTTTATCTCTGAGATTTGCTCACACCTTTCCCTTGTGCCCAGGCTTGTACTCACAGTTTTGTAAACACTAAGTATTCCTTAAAATCTTGGTCAACCTCCTGCCTTGTCAAATCCATACTGACACACTGTTTATGACAGCTGTTTGAAGAATAATTATAAATGGTCCGAAATTATTGTCCGAGCGTCTTACAATCTTATTAACCTTCATGTTGCTGTGTTTTTTTGGAGCTTTTATTACTTTTCAAAATCTCTGAAGATGGGATGTTATAGTTTGGATCTGGACCATCTGCACACGGCTCTGTGCTGAAGGCCTGGTCGCTAATTGGCACTTCTGGAGGTGATGGACCTCTTAGGGGTAGGGTCTTGTGGGAGGAAGGTGTGTGATGCATGCGTTTAATTATACAGCCCCAGTTATAGTAGTTGTGGTTCATAATCCTCCTATTTTTAAGATGTAACTTAGTAAGAGTAAAAATCTACATTTTACTAAAATAAACCCATTGGCTATTCTTTGTATGCTTCCTTTAATTATTTAGAATTTACTCTTGGTTCACCCATAAGAATCATTCAGCTGTTTGCAAATTTATATATTGCTTTTGGTCACCTGCTGATTTTGGTCGCCTGCTATTGATTCTGTTGAGGAAACTCTTCCCTTTTTACTCCTGACCTAGTTATTTAATGTTAAAATGTAGGATCTGTCAATTAAATTGAACACATGCAATACCTATTATATGGAAGGCACTGGATTCTCTAAAGGTAATGTTTTGATGAACACTCATGTATTTCATAAGTTCTGGAACTATTTCTTTTACTCAAAGTTCCCTAGGTCTTTTTCAGAAATATTTTTATACTTGGTCCCAGACAGACAAAAAGACCTATTATAATTATTTTATTTTGTACCAGGAATTGAACTCAGGACCTTGCACTTACCAAGCAGGCACTGTGCCACTGAGGTATATCCCTAGACCTATTATCATTATTTTTATTTTATTATTATTAATTTTTGTATTTTAGGGAAGCGTCTACAGAGTATTCAGGGTCTCACTACTAGATTGGACTCTAGCAATCCTCCTGTGCACAGTCTCCCAAGAGCTGGGATTGCAGGTGTGCGCCACCACGCCCAGCCTCAGTTGCCCTCTCAGCGTGCCCCGGGGTGGGGCCGGCACTGCAGGCCTGGGGTCAAAGCTTCCTGTGCCAGCTTACGGGCGCTTTAATCCGCTGAGCTTTTTGGCCAGCCCACTAGACCTATTATTAAAAAGGAAGAAAGTATGTAGTTGATTGAGGAGGAACTTTCGCTACAAGGCCTGAAAGCACTGGAGTTCATTCTGCTGTAGGCATGCATTTTGTGCCTCAAGAGTGAGCTGAGTCTTTGCTTTAGGTTTGTCTGCCATCCTGCTGGACCCCACAAGCCCTGGACATGCATTCCTGCTGCCCCAGGGCAAGAGGCACTCACAGGCTGCCTGATGAGTCTGTGCTTCAGGTGTTAAGTAGGGTTATAACGCTCATCGCAGAGTTGGCGCAAGGTTTAAACCCACCAATCTATGTAAAATTCTAAGTACAGTCCCTGGCGTACTTCAGGTGTTCAGGAAATCGGCTGTCCTTGTTACTTGCTGTAGGGAGAAAGTGTCTCGGGCTTGCTTCACAAGCTAGGTGGCAGCCAGCCTGCACCCTCTGGCCCTGCCCATGACTTTCACATCTGCCAAGAAGGGTCTGCCATTTCGTATTTGGTGATAATTTTTTTCTTTTGAGCTCTCTACTTTTCACTGAAGCATTTTACAAATTATAGACATCTGATGTATACATATTTGCAAACCCTTTGCTCTGTGGTTTATTTTGTTTTAGAAGTTATAACATCTATTTTATCACATCTGTAGTACTAATTTTGAGAAGTTCCAAAAAGAGTCTGCTGGCACTTTAATTACAATCATACTAAACTCGTGGATTAACTTAGGGAACAGACACTTTTAGAATATTGTTTTCTAAGTGACACATTTTATTTGGTAGAGCTCTATAGTTTGTATTACAGTGATAGTACATATTTTATAAGAAAGCTTATTCCTGTATATTTTATAGTTTTGGTTGCTAATATAAATGAGATTTTTTTCCACTGTGCTTTCTACTGGGCATCTGCTTGTGAGTAGGAAAACTACAGATTACTGAATATCAATTTTGAAAGTATATATTTTAAGAAAAATCTTGTATTACTTATAGCAGTGTTTTAATTCTCTAGGTATTTAATGATTACTGTAGATTCAACATGTGTGTCCTCCCCAGATTCCTATTCTGAAACCCTACCTGCTAATATAATGGTATCAGGAGGGGGGCCTGGGATCTGATTAGATAATGAAGGTGGAACCTGCCCCCCACCCCAATAAAAAAAAATCTGTGGGGATTGAACCCAGGGCCTTGCACCTGCTAGGCAAGGACTCTGCCACTACCTCTCAGCCCTTTATTTAAAACTGTATTTTGAGACAGGGTCTAAATTGCCAAGACTTGCTGTTCTCCTGCCGCAGAGCCTCCCAAGAAGCTGGGTACAGTAGGCATGTGCCACCACACTTAGTGGCAGAGGTCTCCTGCATGGGCTTAATACCCTTATGAGAGAGTTCCCGGAAAGCTCTCTGCCCTTTGTGTCATATAAAACATCTGTGAACAAGGTGGTGGCCCTCATGAACACGGAATCTTGTGGCACCTTGATCTTGGGCTTCTAGCTTCAGAATGATGAGAAATAAATTTGTGGTATTTTAAATATGGCAGTGCAAACAGATCAAAAATTTTTTTTTCCAAATTTTTGGAAGATTTTGAGAAAGACTGGTGTTAACTCTTCCATGTTTTCTTCAGTCAGCTTAGGTTATTTGAGTATTTCAAACATTTTGTCCATGTTTCTCACGTTATCTAATTTGCTGCTATACGAATTTTCATAGCACTGTCTTAGAATTTTTAAAACATCTGTGTAAGTTAGGTAGTTGTGATAGTTAACTGTGGTGTCAATTTGAATAAGAAACACCCAGGTGGTAGGCTTGTGGGGTTCTGGGAGTGTTTGGGTGGTGGATTTACTCAAGAGTGAAGGCCTTGCCTGTGTGGGGGTGGCACCAGGCAGCAGGTTTGGAGACTGGACAGAATGAAAAGGAAAAGAGGCCTTGCTTTGGCTTCATGGGAGAGTGTCAGTCTTCGTCATGGGCTTGGGCTCGCCAGCTGCCGGCTGGCGCGCACTCCTCAGCCTCCCGGCACAGCCCCTCAGCTTGAGCGTGTGGACTCACACAGGGCTGCGCTGAGCTCCAGGCCTTCAGCTTTCAAATGTTGACTGAATGCCTTGGATCTAAGTGTGTAGTCACTCAGCCCTTCTGCACTTGTACCTCTGACTGCAGGTGACAGCGCAGCCTCGTCTGTAAATCCTCTCCAGATGTCACACATTTTGTATTAAATCTGTGCCTCCAGTGAACCCTGATGTGTAGGAGTAGTGGTGTCTCTCCTTTCCCGTGTCATTTTATTCTCATTCTCTTTCTTTTTCTTTTTTTCACTCTTTGCTTGTTTCAGAGGTTTGTTAATTTTGATGGTCCTATTAGAATATAAACTTTTGTTTTCATTGATTTTTCTCTATTGCCTTTCTAGTCTCTATTTTTGTTCTAACCTTTGTTATTTCTTACTTTTTGCTTGCTTTCAGCTTTGTCTTTTTCTATTCCTTAGTAAGGCAGAAGGTGAGGTTATTGAGCTAGATCTTTCTTTTTAAGTGGGGCTTTTACTGCTATAAGCTTCTCCCTGAGTGCTGTGTGTGTGTGCTGCATCCCATAATTTTGGGTATTTCAATTTTTCACTGAGCTCCAAGTATTTTAAAATTTTGTCATTTCTTTGACCCATTGATTGATTAAAAATGTTTTATTTTTAATTTTTATGTATTTGTAGGTTTTTCAGTGGTCACAGCAGATACTATGTATGGTATTCACTTTTAAAATATGGAGAGGGACATTCTAGCTTCATTTTAAATACTCCTTATGGCTAGTGCTACCATATTAGCACAATATGTAAAGCGTTTCTACGAGTGGAGAAGATTCTGCTGGACATCAGTGTTTGAAGTCATGATAAATGCTAGATTTATGTTTTCATAAAAAGTCTCATTAAACTTAATTCTCTAAATTTCATTTATTGTTATTTTTGGTGATATATGAACATTATTTAAAAATTACTGAAATATAGAAATATAGAAAATGAAGTATTTATATAAATTATAATAAAATAAAAGATTCTTACAGTCATACAAAAAAAATATGGAGAGGGAGCCAGCCAAATAGTGCAGTGGATTAAAGCACCTGCTTAGGCAGAGGCAATGGCTGGGGTTTGATCCCTGGTCAGTCATGCTGGCTCCGCGCACCGCCCCAGGCAGGCCCCCCACCCCCAGTGTGCTGAGACAGTGATTGAGATTGGGCGTGGTGGCAGGTGCCGGTAGTCCCAGCTCTTGGGAGGCTGAACACAGGCAGATCACTATGAGTCTGATCTACAGTGAGACCCTTTAGACCCTGTACTAAAATAAAATATGGAGAGGGCCAAGAATGCAGCTCAGAGGCACAGTACCTGCCTGACAAGCTCGAGGTAGTAAGTTTGATTCCTGGGACAAGGAAAAAAAAATCTACAGAGGCCTATTTTGTGGCCCAGTGTGTGGTCTTCCTGGAAAATGTCTCCCAAGTACATGTTCCAGAAGAAAGTGGTTCTGCTGTGGTTGTGCGGTGTGTGTGGTAGGTCTCCCCATGATCGTTGGCTTATAGTGTTCCTTGGGTCTCTCTTTACTATAGCTGTGTCACTGTTTTCCAGCACAACAGAAACTCCTGACAATAAAATTAATGAAGGAAGAAAGGCTTGTTTTGGCCGATCGTTTTAGAAGTTTCCATTCATGGTAGGCTGACTCCACTGCATTGGGCCTGAAGTGAATCTACAAAGATAGGTGAAGTACAGATTTTTAGGAACAGAGATTGATACAGGTCATCTTTGTTAAATTCAGGTTATAAAGACCTGGGAGAAATTTGTTGAAATGGTAAATTAAAATATTACTGACGCAATAGTGCCATTATTGAGTATTTTATTATACGGTAGGCACTGAGAGTTTTACGTGTAATATTTATACCATGTTATTTACCTAACCCTCACAATTAACCTCCTCACTGTCTCTACTACTATCCCTATTTTATCATTAACTACTGAGCTCTCCTGAGATCATGACTCTTCTGTGTTTGTGCTGGGGTGGAACCCAGTGTGTTATACATTTCAGGTGAGCGTTCACTACTGAGCTACGTCCTGAGCCACTAAACGTTGATTTTTCCTGGTGTAAATTTTTATAGTTCATAAAAATATTGAGAAATTAAGAAGTAAAAAATTCTTACCAGCTGCAAACCTTTTTGCTTTTCGGCCAACTTTAGTCGTGCAATTTTGAGGACATTTTGAGCTTCTGCTACTTGCATTTGTTTAGGGCTTACAACCTTAAAGAGATCATTGAAATCAGAACACTGAAATGTTAAAAACAGCAGGGTTGATGTTTAAAATTAACTTAGATTTGAGGGCTGGGGAGATAGCTCAATGCCTGGTACTGAAAAAAAAAAAATTAAGTTTGAAAGACTTTTATAGGTGTCAGTCACTAAACTTTCCTGGAATTTTTATGTGTATACAAGGGATAAAAAGTGGCTTATTATAGTCAAACATGAAAATAAAACAGTACAGCATAGTTGTCAGAGAAAATGGCATAGGAGTACTTGGGCTGTTCGTGAATTCGCATGATGTACTACTGTCTTTGGTTAAAGTGATTTCATTAGGCAACCTCTCCATAGAGGGTCACTCAAGCATTGTTAATGAAGATGACTTCTGGGACATAGACTGTCACAAATCCCCAGAGACTGGGGAGGTGTACCTTCTGGACCTCGTGGTAGTTATTCAGTGCTATAATCCACTGGCACATGGAGCAACACGCAGCAGACACCAGCGCCATCTTGGTTGGGTTGAAGTCTGGCAAGTTCAAAATTTTTTTCAACTTCACAAAAACCTATAGAGAAGAAATGTGTTGTACAAAAAAAAAGCCATTACTGGTCTGAAGTTTCCCCCAGTGTATGTTAGCATGAATGTAACTTCATTTCCTATAAGAATTCTGCTTATGTCCCAGGAACCAAGTGGCCTCAACCAGGAGGGACCTCCACAGGATCACCTGTTGCAGGAGCAGCTCTGCCATGAGAAGACGTGTGCGTGAGGAGGTGTGACGTCCCTGTGTATCTGACTATGAAGGGACCTGCTTCCGTCGTTACCCCGCAGCGGCATGTTGACAGGGCATGGTCCCTGGTAGTGACCCCAGGGCTGGTGGTCGTGGTGGCAGAGAATCACAGCATCCCATGGACCCTCCCCTGCTCAGTGGTGCCGCAGAGGGTTTCCCCTCTGCCTTTTGGGAGTCACTAGGCCGATGTCTTCTCTGCCTGGGATTTCTTGATTTTTTTATTTATTTGATGCAGGGTCTTGCTGTGCAGTTCAAACTTATAGTGATACTCCTGTCTCAGCCTTCTCAGAATGCACCTCCACATCCAGTTTTGAGGCCACCATGGCATGTGTGGGTTCCAGGGCCAGTGTGACATGTGGTAACAGGGATTGAACCTGGGTCCTTGTACTTGCCAGGCAAGTGCTTAGACCGCCAAGTTATCCCCCCAGCCCAAGCCTGGGATTTCTTCTCCCTTTCCATCCTTTATTTCCTCTCTTGTTTGGAGAACAGCAGTACTTTCCTGGATCATCCTGACAGGAGATGGTCCATTCTCAATTTGTCAGCATTGGTGGTGGTGGTGGTGGTGGAGGTGGCGTCGTTGTCGTGGTCTTCTTCTTCCTCCTCCTCCTTCTCCCTCTTCCCTCCTCCCTCCTTCTTCCTCCTCATGCTGCTTTAAGAGTGGGTCTGGCAAGGCATGTGGAGCTGGGGATTGAACCACGTCCCCTGTGCCTAACTGGGATTGCTGGAGCAGGCGCTTAAACAGCTGAGCTAACCCGCAGGGCCCGGGTGTTCTTCTTACCACTTAAAATTATGCCAGCTTTTTAGCATCCATTTAGATGAGCTATTTATTAATGTTCACTTGACATCCATTTAAACAAAACCACAGGGCCTCTTACTGCTGGGTGTCCTTCCAAGGTGCGTGTTTTATTTGCTCTGTGTATAATGTGGATGTTAGCACGAATGCTACAGCTTGCTCAGACCCAGTGCTTCTAAATAGCACAGGGAAATATTAGGACTGACTGACAACAGGCCCGCTGGTCTCCCTAGCGTGGCTCTCGCAGTGTTTCCCATGTGATAGCTCTGTTGGGACACTCCTCCAGCTTCACCATACAGTTCCACAGTTTTAGTTATTTGTTAAAGCAGCTGGTTTTTGTCACCTCCTCCTCTACATGTTGTTTTCCTTCCTGTGGGACTCTTCACCCAGCATGGCCAGCCTGTGCTCATCTAAGCCTGTGCCTGGCTCTCTTCCTCCTTGAAGGTACAGCAAATCTGCATTCTTTTTTTTTCCTTTTCAAAGTTTTATTGATAAACATATAGCAATGAGACAGTTTCAAATCAAATCGGAAGTACAGTTTCAACAAATAATACACTGCATATATTCTTCT